CTTTCTACAGTCGACGCTTATCGGATACCGCTGTAGCCTCATTTAAAGAAGCCATTCCTTCTGCTCTAAATTCAGTGCCCTGCCTCAAGATACAAGAAGACTCCTGTGAGAACCTCAGCCTGTCCCAGATCGATAATTTTGTCGATACTGCTACAGGCTCTTTGAAAGTGGCGCTGGACGCTATTGCTCCTCTGGAAAGAAGAATAGCAACAAGAAGGAAGTGTGCTCCGTGGTATAACCCTCAAACACGGAACCTAAAGCAAACTGTGCGGAAACTTGAACGATTATTATTACGATTATGTTGAACATTAAAACCCTTATTTTGTGACCTCCCTCTGCGGGTGGATCTTTGCCGCCCGATACCGTGACAGAACGTGAGAGAATAATCCGACCACACGCTATGGATCCAGTGAGGGAGGAATCCATTGCCACTGCCGTAGAGTTCCAGGGAGCTATGCTGGGTCGACACCATGAGGAATTGTCGGCAGCCAGGCAGGCCGTTGAGAGTCTGGCCGCTCAGGTGAACGACCTGTCTATGCGCCTCACCCAGACCCGTTCCGAGTCTCCATTAACACTCTCTCACTCGTCGTCTCCGGAGCCTCGCATCAATAACCCCCCGTGTTACGCTGGAGAGCCGGCGGAATGCAGAGCATTCCTGACGCAGTGTGAGGTGGCCTTCTCTCTGCAACCGCAAACATCTGCTGAAGACCAAGCCTGCATTGCCTACGTGATTTCCTTACTAACCGGGCGCGCCCGTGAATGGGGAACCTCAGTTTGGGAGGCTGGAGGTCCCTGCTGCAGACGCTTCCTCCTCTTCAAGGAGGAGATGATAAAGGTATTTGACCAGTCAGTCTTTGGACGCGAGGCATCGCGTCTCTAGACCACCATTCGTCAGGGAAAGAGGTCCGTTGCCGACTTCGCTATAGAGTTCCGAACTCTTTCCACTACCGGCGAATGGAACGAACCCGCCTTGGGGGCCCGTTTTTTAGAGGGGTTGAACATAGAACTCAAGGAGGAGATTTACGCTCGTGGGTCACCAGCCGACCTCGACACGCTGATGGAGCTGGCAATGCGCCTCGATCGGTGCTTTCAACAACAGCGACGAGCCCGCACTGCTGCCCCGACACCCTGAGAGTCATTTCCCCCTTTTGCTCCCGAACCTGAGCCCATGCAGCTGGGTGGCATCCGCCTCCGGCCGGAGGAGAAACAACGGCGCCTCTCTAACAGACTGTGCCTTTACTGCGGTGCGGCGGGCCACTTTGCCGCTTCCTGTCCGGCAAAAGACAGAGCTCGCCAGTAGACAGAGGAGTACTGGCGAGCGCGGCGGTGTCTTCATCCTCACCCAGATCCCGCACAACTCTCCCCGCCGTTCTTCGGTGGGCTGGCTCATCTGCCTCCTGTCCGGCGCTGATTGACTCGGGGGCGGAGGGAAACTTCCTAGACGAGAGATGGGCGCGGGAACACAACATTCCCCTGGTGGATTTAGAAAAACGCACCACCATATTTTCCCCGGATGGTGGAACTCTAGCTGAGGTCCATCAGGTCACCAGTCCGGTGAGTCTGACTGTCTCCGGGAACCACCAAGAGACTATTTCTTTTTTCATTTTTCGTTCCCCCTATTCCCCCATTGTCTTAGGGCACCCCTGGCTTGTTCAGCATAATCCCCATATTAACTGGGTCAGGAGTACTATTTTGTCTTGGAGTCTTTCGTGTCATGGGAACTGCTTAGTGTCTGCTATCCCTGCCGTGTCTTCTGTCTCTATGTTTCAGGAGGAGCCCGGTGATCTGACTGGCGTACCAGAGGAGTACCATGACTTGCGGGCGGTTTTCCGCCGTTCCCAGGCCGTGTCCCTGCCGCCTCACCGCCCTTACGACTGTAGCATTGACCTCCTCCCTGGCACCACGCCCCCCCGCGGCAGACTATACTCCCTCTCATCACCCGACATGTTAAACATCTTCGTATTTGTTTTTCTGGACGACATTCTAATCTTCTCACCCTCTCTCGAGTTACACGCACAACACGTCCGTCGGGTCCTACAACGCCTGCTCGAGAACCTCCTTTTTGTTAAGTCTGAGAAATGTGTCTTTCACTCGCGTTCGGTTACGTTCCTTGGGTCTGTGATCACCGCTGGGGGAATCAGCATGGACCCCCAGAAGGTACGAGCGGTTCCCAATTGGCCAGCCCCGGAGTCTCGAGTTGCTCTCCAGCGGTTTTTAGGATTCGCAAATTTCTACAGGCAGCCACCTGACAATTTTAGTCAGGTGGCTGCCCCCACGTCCGCACTCACGTCGACCAAGTCAAGGTTTTGTTGGTCAGAACCGGCACAAGAGGCTTTTAGTCACTCCGGACCCCGCAAGACAATTTATTGTTGAGGTCGACCCCTCTGACGTAGGGGTTGGGGCTATTTTGTCGCAATGCTCCTCCCGTGACGATAAGATTCACCCGTGCGCCTTTTTTTCGCACCGGCTCTCACCCACGGAGCGAAACTATGACGTCGGCAACCGGGAGCTCCTGGCTATCCGGTTGGCTCTGGGGGAGTGGCGGCATTGGCTAGAGGGGGCCGACCACCGGAACCTCGAATACATTCACTCCGCTAAAAGACTTGGTCGATCATGTGTTTAAGATTCACGGTCTTCCCTCGGACATTGTGTCTGACAGAGCTCCCCAATTTGCCTTTCTGTTTTGGAGGGAGTTCTGTCGACTGATTGGGGCTTCCCCCAGTCTGTCGTCAGGATTCCACCCTCAGACCAATGGACAAGCCGAGCGGACCAACCAGATTCTCGGGCGCATGTTACGCAGTTTGATCTCTCCGACCCCGGCGTCCTGGGTAGATCAGATCTCCTGGGCCGAGTTCGCCCATAATTCTTTACCCTCCTCCGCAACCGGTCTGTCTCCTTTTGAGAGTTGCCTCGGCTATCAACCTCCACTCTTTCCGTCACAGGAGCCTGAGACTTCTGTCCCCTCCGTTCACGGTTTCATTCAGAGATGCAAGCGCACTTGGAAGAGAGTGAGATCCGCTTTATGTCGCACCAGAACGCGCACTTGTAAGGCTGCCAACCGCCGCTGGGTAAAGGCACCCAGATACGTTTGTGGGCAGAAGGTGTGGCTCTCCACTCGCAATCTGCCCACACGCGAAGGCTCACGGAAACTCATGCCTCGCTTTGCCGGCCCCTTTTGCATTGTTAAGGTCTTTAACCCGGTAACCGTCAAATTAAAGCTGCTCGGTTCGTTACGTCGGATACACCCAGTATTTCATGTTTCGTGTCTCAAGCCTGTCATTCGTGCACCCACCCGCCCCACCCCCCCACCTCTTGACGAGGTGGACTCTATTTATAGGGTTCGCAAACTTCTGGATGTTCCTCCCCAAGGGCGGGGCCGCCAGTTCTTGGTGGATTGGGAGGGGTACGGTCCTGAGGAGCGGCAGTGGATTCCGGCCCGGGACGTCCTGGACCGCTCGCTCATTGATGTCTCGCCAGACTCCTTCCTCGGAAGTGCCTCGGGGCGCTCTTTGAGGGAGGGGTACTGTCAGGATCCGGGTCTCTCTCTCTCTTCCCCTCTGCCATATACATTCACTGACACACTCATTTGCCCATTAGTCTCACCTTAGCGCACACACCCAGTTCTCACATAGCCTTCTCATCCACCTGCCGCTCATTTCAATCAGTGCCCGCGCCGTTTGCTGTTACACCTGTTTCTCGTCATGTCTAATCACCCTGTCTGTATCTTGCTTGTGTTCCCTTTGTGTCTTGTCGGATTATTCTTGTGAGTCAAACCCTTCCCCTGTCCAGCTGCCTCAAGACCTCCTCTGTTTTTGCGCACAGCCAAGTCCCGCTCGTTCGGTCTCCAGCATTGTGCCGCAGGGGCTGCGTCCTGCGGGCTCCTGTCGAGCTTCGCTCTCCAAGGAGGAGATCCCCCTGTCCTGAGGATTATCTTTCGTTTTGCCTAGCTGGTCTCCTAGAGAATGCATTTTTGTTCTATGTTTTGCCATCGAGCTCGGCTTGCTGTTTCTGTTGAACATTAAAACCCTTATTTTTGTGACCTCCCTCTGCGTGTGGATCTCTGCCGCCCGTTACCGTGACGGAACGTGACACTGGCAGGCCCAATAAGATTGTGGTCAGGTCTTTCACGGTGAAAACACCTCCTGCTCAAACTTTCTGTCGCCTCTCTGAATGACGGCATGCACTTGCCCTTTGACATACAGAGGTTGACTGGCGGGGCCCAGTAGAGGCGAATTGCTTGTGTTCCAAAGTTTCCAAGTTCAACTTGTTCAATCTGTGGGAAACAGAAGGTTCACAGAAAGTTGCTTCTTATTGCCTGTATTCATTTTCCAGGATAGCAACATTGGTGAACAATAAAACTAAAAAACACTCACTTCTGAGTGTTTTTTAGTGACTGTCTGGTAAGGTATCATGTTGACACAATTGCTAGCAATCTTATGGTCTGTAAGAAGTCTTTGAACCCCAGATGCAGCAGAGATGTCTGTAGTAAGTACAGCCAGGTCACTTTGTTCATGGGTCCCTCCAGACAGACAATCTACTAAAAGGAGGAAACCACTATAAAGACACACAAAATGAGCGGAAACAGTCACAAAACTACTACAAAGAGTCTTAAAAACGAAGCAGAGCATTGTCTCATGTTACTCTTGGAGGGGAAACCTAATGATAACCTAATGATGGTTAGACCTGGGCGGCGGGCAGGTGTGCCCTCAGGTGAACAAGACTATTGCAGCGTGCCTGCAGCTCAATATTAAAAAAGAATTGAGGACGTTTTTGCGGCTGCAAGGCTACAAGAGGTTCATCCTGGGCTTTGAGGAGCTGACCAGTCCCTTGACTAACCCGAGTTAACTTCAGACGGATGGAAGCTGGGTTTCTTCAGGAAACTGAACCCTCTCTTCTATAATTTCCGGTCACTACCGTCGTGAGACTCTGCCTGTGTGGAGATGTGCTTTGCTCTTTCCCATTGCAGAGCATGATGGAATTTGTGATGTTTAGGAAAAAAGGGTGAAAAGAATAGAATGAAGTGAAATACATGGAGGAAGCTCAATGAAGATAGATGAAACAGTAAGGGGGGAGTTCAGCCACTTTGAGCAAGTTGTCTCCAGAGTAAAAGAGGAGGAGGATGTGGAGGAAGAAAACAGCTTCATCAGTTGCATGAAGAGCACAGCAGCATCGTGTCTCCTTTCTCTGACAATGAAAAGTCTTGAAGAAGATGAACTTTGCTTTCCTCATCTCAACTCCTCCTGCAGGAAGGCCATGCGTCCTCACTTTGTATCTATGCTCACTTACATTTTATTATCCTCCATCTCTCTGCTCACTGTGACTCTCAACCTGATGGTCATCATCTCCATCTCCCACTTCAGGTAATCAAGTATTTTATCAATTTGAAAAACTGCTAGCTAAGACGAAATGGTGAATAGAACAGAACTAGTAATCAAAACTTTTTGTCTTTTAGCAATTGCATTTATCTCTTTATAAGACAATTGCTGCAAACAATGATAAACTTGTTGATTTCTTATCTCCTAAGGCAGCTCCACACCCCCACCAACCTCCTCCTCCTCTCTTTGGCCGTCTCAGACTTCTTTGTGGGCCTCTTTGTGTTCTTCCAAATTGTGCTTATAGAAGGCTGCTGGTTTCTAGGTGACCTGATTTGTATCCTTTATTCTTTTCTGGATTTTACTATTACTTCTTCCTCAGTAGGAACCATGGTGCTCATATCAGTTGACCGATATGTGGCTATTTGTGAGCCTCTACATTATTCCAACAAAGTCACACAAAAAAGAGTTAAGATCTGTGTTTGTCTGTGTTGGACATGTTCTGCTTTCCTTCAGACTCTGCTGCTGAAAGATAACCTTGAAGAACCAGGCAGGTATAATTCCTGCTTTGGGGAGTGTGTCATTGTTATTAATTACATTGCTGGACGTGCAAATCTTTTTTTAACTTTTATTTGTCCCGTCACTGTCATCATAGTTCTGTATATGAGAGTCTTTGTGGTGGCTGTGACTCAGGCTCGTGTCATGAGGTCTCATGTTGCAGTTTTACCTCACAAGTTTTCAATGAACATAACTGCTAAAAAATCTGAAATGAAAGCCGCCAGGACTCTTGGTGTTGTTATTGTTGTCTTTCTTTTGTGCCTCTGTCCATATTATTGTGTTTCACTCTCAGGCCAGGACACCTTGATCAATGCCTCTTCTGCTACAATTGTAATATGTTTGTTTTATTTCAACTCGTGTCTTAACCCTCTGATCTATGCCTTTTTTTACCCCTGGTTTAAAAAATCTATGAACCTCATTGTTACTCTTGAGATACTGCAGCCTGGCTCCTGTGAGAGAAACCTGCTGTAGAGACACTGCATGCTGAGAGGAAATAGACAAGAAAATGTACTCGGTCATATTAATGAGAATTTAATAACAGATATAGACGTCTAGTGAACTTAACACTTGTACATGGAGAACATATCTGTGTCTTTACATTGTGTCCTGCTGCTTAAAACAGTGAACCAATTTAGAAAACTACTCAGGAAATCTGTAACTTGTTTGTGTGTGAGAATTACATAATACATTAGAAACTGTGCTCAGAATCTAAACTCATTCCTACTCCGCTTGGTTAGCTTGTACAGTGGGAGGTGCAGTAATATCGCATGTGAGGTTACAAAATCACTCCAATCCACTGTAATTCTGAAAATTACACATTAAAATAAATTTCCATAGAGCACAACCGCTATGAATGAATTGAGCCATAACCTTTATCTATTCTTTTGGGGGTCCCTAAAACAAAAAAACTAAATATTCACCCTAATATGTGAATGTACAGATATAGTAAGCAGAAACATCGCTTGTTCAATATTTAAGTTTACAAAATGACAGCCAAACAATGTAAAGATTGAGAGCCTAAGATACGCAAAACCAAAAGGGTAATATTTCATGTAGTTAATCTGTTAATTAGTACTAACATTCTCTGTTAGTTCATATTTGTCAGACATTAGCTCATAACATGTGAGTTGGAAAAAGTATGAATGATTTAAAATGAAAATTCTTAGGAATCATGTCAAAAGGTAGGGTGGCCATTCGTCCGGCTTTTAAACGCCCCGTCTGGCTGCAGGCGCAGCCTTAAGCCGGACACTCGTTTGTCCTCCTTTTGAGAAAATAACTAAAAAGGTCCGCCTTTTGACACATTACCTCGTTAGTTTAATAAGTATTGGCTAAAAATGTGTGTCAAAATGAGTAAATTCATTGGTTACACTTTTGTGTAGTGAATTAGCAACACATGGCTCATTTTAATATTCAAATGAGCCATGTGTTGATGCGCCGTCACACGTGCTCGTGCGCAGTTGGTACCACAGTAGGGATGCCAACTCTCCCAACCCCAAATCAGGGACACTTGGGCTGACGGGGGGGGTGCTAGCGGTCGGCGGCCGGGCTGTGTATCATTTCACAGTGTAAAAGGACAAACTACTACTGTATCTCACTGCTGCAACAGATAGGACAGCTCTCACCTCACATGCTCCGCTCCGCGCGCACACTGGTCTGATGCTTCACAACAACCGGGAGTTTTTTGCGCGTCATTGACTTAGGAGGCTGTGATTGGAAAACGGGACTGGAGCTGTCCAAATCAATCAAAATTGCCCATAAGTCGGGATGTCCCGGGTAATACGGGACGGTTGGCAACCCTATGCCACAGGCTGTCAATCAAGCTCTCAGCAGCCGTTGGTTGCTGAAACGATGAAAATGCCAAAGCGAAAGACCTCCTTTAACCCGGAATGGGAAAAAGAAGACAGGTTTGGCACAAAAGGTAGAAAGGATGAGTTCCATTTTTATTGTACATTGTGTCGAAGCGACGTAGATGTCAGCATCAAAGGGAAAGGAGCTATCGACAGACATGCTAGCAGTGACAAGCATCGAGCTAACAATCGGGAGTGCGGCAGGTGCCTTTTCTCTTAGTTTATTTTTTTACGAATGTTCATCACCTCAGGATGACAAAATTGCTGCTGCAGAACTTACTAAAGTTTATCATGCTGTTAAACACCACCAGTCGTACAGGACTGTAGACTGTGGAACAAAAGTGGACAGAGAGATCTACAACGACTCTGCAATAGCAAAGGGAGTGACCTGTGGTAAAACCAAAGCTAAAGCTTTGTGCGAAAATGTCTTGGCGACTTATTCTGTCCGGAAACACGTGGACTACATTAAAGAAAATGATCTGCACTACTCAGTGGCAACAGATGCATCAAACAAAGGTACGACCAAGTGTTTCCCTATTGTACTGAGATATTTCCACTTTGAAGAGGGCATACAACATGCGCTGTTGGATTTTTACAGTGACAGCGATGAATCGTCAGAAGCTATAACAAATCAGCTGCTGGATAAACTTAAAATGCCAGGCCTAGATTTTGAAAAGATGTTGTCATATTCAGCAGATGTCCCACTTGAGAATCTGAGGAAAGTCAGTCAGCCTACATCTTCTCCATCCCATGTAGCAATGCTCATACAGAGCGTGTATTTTCAATGATGACCACAGCCTGGAGAAACGAGAGAAATCGACTGGAAGTGGACAGTGTCAAGGCAGAGCTGCAGATTTGCATCAATTTTACAGACCAGTGCACAGAGATATACAAGAAATTCCTTGCGAACAAGAAACTCTTGGAAGCAGCCAGGAAAGGGCTGACGTATCGCAAATAGACTGTGTGCCAGTCCCAAGAGGCCAGACCTCCCTTCTACCATCAGGTTCTCTATCAGCCTCTACCCAGCCTCCAACTAGCCTCCTACTAGCCTGTGACCAACTGCCTGAACTCAAAGTCAGAAGGTCATACAACTCAGTCTTGTTCATGTTAATTAGCATAAAAAATATTATTAGACCTATGTAAGAGATGCAGACCAGTGTGCATCTCTTCTACAAGGCCACCAGACATCCAGGCGACCTGAAATCGGACTAAGTATCTCTTTCTTTAAACCAAGCTAGTCTGCTAAATTTGCTGTTGATTCTAGTGTCTTAAGTTAATTTGATTTCTGATTTGCTTTAGTTTTTGTCGTCTCACGACCAGTTCTCTTTGTTTGAAGTTATCTTGGTTGCTAGTTTGCTCAAGCTCTTTCAGTCTTTTAGTGCCAGTTTGTGTTCTAGATTCTACTATTAAGTTAACTGCCAGTGTGCCCTCCTAACTCTGCTAGGTTTTGACCTGATCTAAGTCTGTTTTGCCTTGTTTTCTGAAGCAAATAAGACTTGTATCCTCAAACTCTCATTTTGTCAAAACACCACATGGTGTTTGTTCACTGATTAGGGTGTCAAGCTATTGGTGCTTTGCATTTTGAGGAGTTTCTGTCGAGGCCAATCGACCTTTTGTCTCCTAAACGACGGGGGAGCGGCCAGCGCAGCCGCAGCCGACTTCCACTAACGAGGGAGTATTTAACTAGAAATCGTGGGAAGCGTTAGCTTCAGCGTTTACGTGTCCTCGCAGCACGAAGACAAGGGAGTCTTTCGTGGAGTCTTTCGGGGAGGTTGAATGCGGCGCCTTCTTCTGCTATTTTTAATAATGTGTTTGACCCCTTTACCCGTGCCTGTTCGAATCTCTTCCAGCAGATACTACAGGCCTCGGGCTAGATCTGCGCTCTATCGTAACCTCTCCTCTCTCTCCTATCCCACCCGCTCCACACACGTCCAGCACCTCGTCACAGGAGGTCTCTGGAACTGCCAGTCAGCGACTCCCAAGGCTGACTTCATCTCCGGCCTCGCTATCCAGCAGTAACTCGACTTCCTCGCTCTGACCGAGACCTGGATCACACCTGAGAACACATCCACCCCAGCCGCTCTCTCCTCCGCCTTCTCCTTCAGCCACACTCCCAGGCCCACTGGTAGGGGTGGTGGCACAGGTCTACTCATTTCACCCAAATGGAGCTTTTCTCTCTACCCTCTACCACCATCCACCCCATTGTCCTTTGAATTCTATGCTGTAACAATCACTCACCCGGTACAATTAACCATCATTGTCCTCTACCGTCCGCCAGGCTCCTTAGGTCATTTCTTGGAAGAACTGGACATTCTCCTGTCTAATTTCCCCGAAAATGGACCTCCGCTCATCCTCCTGGGTGACTTCAACATCCAGACAGAGAAGTCATCTGACCTCTTACACCTACTTTCTTCCTTCGCTCTGTCACTCAGTCCCTCTCCTCCTACTCACAAAGCCGGCAATCACCTTGACTACATCTTTACTAGAAACTGCTCTACCAATAACCTCTCTGTAACTCCACTTCATGTGTCTGATCACTTCTTCATCTCTTACTCCCTTCCACTCTCTATAACTAACAAACCTCCCTCATTGACTAACTCTATACCGGCTCGTCGCAATATTCGCTCCCTCTCTGAATTTCAATCTCTCCTCTCCTCGTTCTCTGCCTCTATCTCTGCTGCCAAAAGCTCTTTCTACCAATCCAAAATCGAATCCTCATTCTCTAACCCCAAGAAACTCTTCTCAATCTTCTCTAATCTCCTCAAACCCCCTACCCCTCCTCCCCCCTTCTTCCGGGAGACTTTGTCAACTACTTCACCAAGAAAATAGCTGACATACGCTCCTCCTTCTCAAACCCACCTCCTACTTCTCGCGTCCCACCGACCTCGCCTCTTTCGCCCTCACTTCCCTCTTTCACCGCCCTCTCTCCTAACCAAATTCTTACCCTAGTAACCTCTGCCCGTCCGACCACCTGCCCTCTTGACCCCATTCCATCACATCTTCTACAATCTATCGCACCTGACCTTCTTCCGTTCCTTACCTTTCTCATCAACAACGCTCTGTCATCTGGCTGTTTTCCCAATTCTCTGAAGGAGGCAAGAGTCAACCCTCTCCTGAAGAAACCCACCCTCAACCCTTCTGAAGAAAACAACTACAGACCGGTCTCTCTTCTTCCCTTTTTGTCCAAAACCCTTGAACGTGCTATCTTTAATCAACTCTCCTCTTATCTCCACTGTAACAACCTCCTTGTTTCAAGGCAGGCCACTCCGCAGAGACTGCTCTCCTTGCTGTCTCTGAGCAACTCCACACTGCTAGAGCCGCCTCTCTCTCCTCTGTCCTCATCCTTCTGGACCTCTTTGCTGCATTTGACACCGTCAACCATCAGATCCTTATTTCGTCCCTTCAGGAACTTGGTGTCACAGGCTCTGCTCTCTCCCTTCTCTCGTCCTACCTCGACGGCCGCACCTACCGGGTAACCCGGCGAGGATCTGTGTCGGAACGTGTCCTCTGGAAACTGGAGTTTCTCAAGGTTCCGTGCTGGGTCCCCTCCTGTTTTCGCTTTACACCAACTCTCTTGGCGCTGTCATTCGCTCGCATGGCTTCTCTTACCACAGCTATGCCGATGACACCCAACTAATTCTCTCCTTCCCTCACTCGGACACCCAGGTGGCGGCTCGGATCTCTGCCTGTCTAACTGACATCTCTCAGTGGATGTCCGCCCACCATCTGAAAATTAACCCCGACAAGACTGAACTACTTCTCTTTCCCGGAAAAGATTCGCTTACCCAGGACCTGACAGTCAACTTTGGGAACTCCGTACTAACGCCCACTTTGACCGCTAAGAGCCTCGGCGTCACACTCGACAGCCAACTCTCCCTGACTCCCAACATCACCGCGACAATGCGATCCTGTAGATACAAGCTCTACAACATCAGGAGAATACGTCCCCTTCTCACTCAGAAGGCAGCGCAGGTACTGATTCAGGCTCTTGTCATCTCCCGCCTGGACTACTGCAACTCCCTCCTGGCAGGTCTCCCTGCCACCGCCATTCGACCTCTGCAGCTCATTCAGAATGCAGCAGCTCGACTGGTCTTCAACCTTCCGAAATTCTCCCACACTACTCCACTCCTCCGCTCTCTTCACTGGCTACCTTTAGCCACTGCACTCTTTACTTCCAGTGTAACTGAGATACCTTCTGTATGCTTGTGAGAATTCATTCATACACACTAGTGAGATGCTCTTACATTCACTGGGGAAATGACATACATACATATAACTGAAAGTCTCATCCTGGTTGAGGAATGCAGGGTCAGAGGGCAAAAGCAGAAATTGTCAACCAGGCAGAAAAAGGTCTGGGATGGGATTTAGAGACACACCAAGCACCACACAACACTCACGCTTTGTTTGTTATGTTTACATTAATGTCAGGAGAGTTGTATGTGATTTGATATTGTATTGCGGTGAGAGGACCTGCTCCTCCTCGGTGCCAGTTTAGGGCTGTTAGGGTTTGGAAGGCTCTCGAGGGAGGCCTCACTCCTTTGTTCTCGTCCCGGCCGGAAACGAAGAATCAAAAGAGTCAGCTTGCGTAAATTCAAAAAATCAAAAAGTATTTAATTACTAAACAACGTTATAAGGAATACAATTACAAAGTGAAATACAAAATGAACAGTAAAATATTTCGCAAAATGGAGAATTCTCTGAGCAAGTCTAAAGCGACTTTTCAAAGCGGCTTCAGGAAAATTCTAACAGTCCTTTCCCCGCTTTGGTCATTTGAAAACTCTTGAGGTGTGTCTTCTTGGATGCATTTGAATGTCATTGGCTTCTTCTTCAGAGTGTCCCCTCCTGTATTGTCCCCTTCACGTTGAGGTGTGAAGCTGCAGCTGTAACCTGAAACCTCCTTTGTCCTATTTATCCCTCACATTCCAATGCACTCAATGTAGATACAGTCGGCTTTATGCCTCAATGAGTGAATATAACAAAGCATGCATAGTTTGTCTTCATCTTATAACTAGTACACTGTAATTACAACACGTCATTAATGATCACCGTTCATCACACTTCATCATAAGATCTAAAACAGTTCATGTGGTCCAATTCTCAAGACATTTGCCTCAGTCGGCTGCCTCGCATTAAGTTGTTCCTTTTACTACCTGACAGGAGAAAAAAATCCCAAAAAAAACTCTTTGGGGGATAAAATTGGGGGAAATCAATAAAGGACGGCAATTAGCATCCGTCCCCAGGTTTTAACATCACATTGTGACAGAATGTTAATGTCTACACTGTTTATATGATTTAAATGACTATGAATTGTGTTTGATTGAAATTGCATTCACTTCATCTAACATGTTAATGTAATACCTAATATCTAATAACACACAAACTATAATTCTAACACTAAACATTATTACGCATACTATAATTTCCTGACTAGGGTAACCCTAGCAGGGCCAGTAGAAATATTTTCTTCTATATCTAACAATGTCCCTGATGTTAGTCAGTTGTTCCTCCGGTCTGTCGGCCGACAGAACTGCTCCTGCCTTTGCAAACGCAGCACTGATTCTTGACATGTGATCTGACAAATAAATCTACTAGAACAAGTTTTTTGGCTGAATTATCCAGAAATTCCCAACCGGGCTTCCAATTGAATCACGATTTTTCTTTCATCAGGGTGCTTCCTAAAGTCCATCAAAAGGAGATTGTTATAGAAAATAGAAGTTGGTGGTTCGAGTCCCGGCTGCCCCATGTCCCATGTCGAAGTGTCCCTCAGCAAGACACCTAACCCCTAAGTGCTCCCCAGGCAAAATGTAAGAGTCGCTTTGGATAAAAGCGTCAGCTAAATGACCTGTAATGTAATGTAATGTGTTATAAAGTAGAGCAGGGGTCTTCAACTAAAAGGTGAAGAGGTCAAGTTAGAGAATATTCCTAGAAGCAAAGGTCCGGGAGATCATAATGTGACCACTTAAATTGAGGAATACATTTGTATCAAGATTGGCATCTAATCAAAACAGAACTAACAAATCAAATCATTTAGGATGATTCTAAAACTCTTTTGAACATGTGATGTTCTCTCAATTAACTAAATAAAAGTAGGGCTGCATTTAAAAAAATAAATAAATATGAATAAAAATAATGTTGAAATGAAGTGCTTCAATTCAGAAAAAATAAAATAACGGGACTTCCTGTTATTTAATTTTTTTAGACGAGCTTGAATTTCCCCTTTTCTGCTTCCCATTTGGACTTTTAGAAAATATATAAACAATAAATCTCCACATTTTAACAATTGAACAGTCTAATAGAATATATATATATATATATATATATATATATATATATATACATACATATATATATATATACATACATATATATATATATATATATACTCATACTGCCTTCAAGATCAACTAGTCGATCGCGGGCGACCTATTGAGCATCCCTGGTGTACAGAGAGAAGCGGCGGGGACCCAGAACAGAGCCTTGGAGACCCTAGTGGTGAGAGGACAAGGTTCAGACACGGATATTTACCGAAGTACTCGGTAAGAGTGGTTGTTGAGATAGAATGAGAAATGGGAGAAAGCAGAGCCTGAGACACCCAGATCCTGAAGTGAGGAAATAATACAAGTTTTAGGAAGAAAGGCCAGATAAGAGCATGTAGTTCTTAACTTCATACGGATTTAGGCAGGAAACTTTACTCTCTCTTCTACCGTTTCTGGTCACAACTGTCTTGAGAAGGCAACTTTGGCTGTGTTGAGATGTTCCTTCCTGTTTGTAAATTGTAATGTTTTGTAAAAAAAGTAGAATAAAGTAAGATACATTGAGATGCCCAATTAAGATAGGTGAAACAGTAAGGGGAACGTTCAGTCACTCCCACTTTGAAAAAGTGGTCTCCAGAGAAAGACAAGGAGGATGTGGAGGAAGACAAGAGCTTCATCAGTTGCATGACGAGCAGCATCGTGTCTCCTCTCTTTGAGAATGAAAAGTCTTGAAGAAGATGAACTCTGCTTTCCTCATCTTTTCAACTCCTCCTGCAGGAAGGCCATGCGTCCTCACTTTGTATCTATGCTCACTTACATTTTATTATCCTCCATCTCTCTGCTCACTGTGACTCTCAACCTGCTGGTCATCATCTCCATCTCCCACTTCAGGTATTGAGACATTTTATCAATTTATTAAGGCGGTAGATAGGAAGAAAGTGTGGAAGAAATGGCTCTCAGACATGAATGGAAATATGTTTTTGTCTTAATAAATGGTTTTATCTCTAAATGACAGCTGCTAACAATAATGATGTGCTTGTTGTTTTCTTATCTCCTAAGGCAGCTCCACACCCCCACCAACCTCCTCCTCCTCTCTCTGGCCGTCTCAGACTTCTTTGTGGGCTTCATCGTGTTCTTTCAAATTGTCGTTATAGAAGGCTGCTGGTTTCTAGGTGACCTCATGTGTATCCTTTATATTTTTCTGGACTATATTATTACTTCTGCCTCAGTAGGAACCATGGTGCTCATATCAGTTGACCGATATGTGGCTATTTGTGAGCCTCTACATTATTCCAACAAAGTCACACAAAAAAGAGTTAAGATCTCTGTTTGTCTGTGTTGGACATGTTCTGCTTTCCTTCAGACTCTGCTGCTGAAAGACAACCTTGAGGAACCAGGCAGGTATAATTCCTGCTTTGGGGAGTGTGTCGTTGTGATTAACTACATTGCTGGACTTGCAGATCTCTTTTTCACTTTTATTGGTCCCGTCACTGTCATCATAGTTCTGTATATGAGAGTCTTTGTGGTGGCTGTGACTCAGGCTCGTGTCATGAGGTCTCATGTTGCAGTTTTACCTCACAAGTTTTCAATGAACATAACTGCTAAAAAATCTGAAATGAAAGCCGCCAGGACTCTTGGTGTTGTTATTGTTGTCTTTCTTTTGTGCGTCTGCCCATATTATTGTGTTTTACTCTCAGCACAGGACACCTTGTTTAATATCTCATCTGCTGCTTTTGTAACGTGTGTGTTTTATTTCAACTCGTGTCTTAACCCTCTGATCTATGCCTTTTTTTACCCCTGGTTTACAAAATCTATGAAGCTCATTGTTACTCTTGAGATACTGCAGCCTGGCTCATGTGAGAGAAACCTGCTGTAGAGACGCTGCATGCTGAGAGGAATTAGACAAGAAAATGTACTCGGTCATGTTTATGAAAATTTATTAACAGATGTCTTGTGGTTTAACATTTTTTCAAAGCAATCAGGAATAAAGAATAAAGTCAAAGTGTCAAAGTTGTGTTTTCTGTTAATTGTTCCAATGTATAAAAGTACAACAGCTTCACATGGAAAGAAATTGTGAGATTCTTCTCAACAGGTCAAAGACACAATATTGTTTCATACACCCGCAGGAAAGAACAACTGTTTGTTATGGTACAAATAAGAATACAAAAACTGGGCCCGCAGCCTGAGAGAAACAATTGCAATCCTTTCTTATCAGGTGATACTAATAACTGAATGGTGGCGTTGAGGTGGCAGACTCAATGTATTCTCCCGATAAATGTCATGAAGTTAGACAATAGACAATGATAAAACAAAGGAATTGTAGAAACCGCTAATAGCAGACAATGAAAAATAGTTTTAATAGTGACAAATGTAAAATTAACAAATCCGGCTACTGATTCATTGTATTCTCCACTCAGGAACAGACTTTAAGCCTGTGGAGAGAAATCACTATGACCAAACCAAAAAGGGTTTTACAGTAATTTGCTTTGGTGGTTGTTGCATGAAAAGGAAACAATAACAACAATACAATAAACAACCTTTAAAAAGGGTTGTTTTTCAAAATAATCCTGTCAAGATTGGGCAACGGTTCACTGTTAAGAAAAATAATAATAATTACAGGAAAAGTAAAAGTAAAAAGGAATCCCTGCAAATACACCTGAAATAAACAGATCTATTGTTTTGACATTGATACACTTTAAGTTGTTGTTGTCTTTATGACGATAGCATTGAAATTATAATAGTGCATTCCATGAAAATCATTGCAAATCATAACAAAGGCCTGGGTCAAAGGTCAACATCAAAACATCACAGTCATCTCCAGCGGGAAGGAAGATGAGCATGGAAACTATTGTTCTTCAATCTCCATGGAGAAAGAAACAACATCAGAGGTGATGCAGTAGGAGGGGTGGACCCAAAGTAAAGAGACAAATCAGTTGTAAGACAAGAAGCTTTGGCCAGTCAGCTGAAGCTGTTCTGCAGCTTCTTCTCTCCGCTGATGGAAACCTTGGTGGCAACTGAACTTTGCTTTCCACAACTCATCAACACCTCCTGCAGAAAGACAATTCGTCCTCACTTAGAAGCAATGTTGATTTATATTTTGTTGTCCTCCATCTCTCTGCTCACTGTAGCTCTCAACCTGCTGGTCATCATCTCCATCTCCCACTTCAAGTAGTGAAACGTTTCATGTAATTCGGTAACTGGTAGTTTGAAACAAGTGTTGCTTCATATTTTTATATATTTATATTTTTTATATTTTTAAATCTGACCGAATGATGCCATAATTATTGATATGAATTTCAATATTTGTTTCCCTCCAGGCAGCTCCAGAGCCCCACCAACCTCCTCCTCCTCTCTCTGGCCGTCTCAGATTTCTTTGTGGGTCTATTAATGATCTTTCAAATAATGATGATAGACGGCTGCTGGTTGCTCGGTGATCTCATGTGTTCTCTTTGGTTTATTCTAACAATCATTGTTTTCTCGTCCTCAGTAGGAACCATGGTGCTCATATCAGTAGATCGATATGTGGCTATTTGTTATCCTCTGCATTACTTCGCCAAAGTCAAACCAGAAAGCGTTAAAGTCTGTGTTTGTCTGTGTTGGATGTTTGCTGCTTTATATAACAGTCTGATGATAAAGGATAACCTGCGACATCCAGGCAGGTATAACTCCTGCATAGGAGAGTGTGTCATTGATATTGAGTACATCACTGTACTGTTTGATCTCATTGTTACATTGATTTTTCCCATTACTGTTATTATCATTCTTTATATTAGAATATTTGGGGTGGCTGTGTATCAGGCTCGTGCCATGCGGTCTCACATTGCAGATGTGACACTGAAAGTAACCGTTAAAAAGTCTGAGATGAAAGCAGCCAGGAATCTTGGTGTTGTTGTAGTTGTGTTTATGATATGCATTTGTCCATATTATTGTTTTGTTCTAACATCCCGAAATAACATGTACACAGCTTCATCTGTAACCTTTGTAATATGGTTGTTATATTGTAACTCCTGTCTCAACCCTCTGATCTATGCCATTCTCTACCCCTGGTTCAGAAAATCAATTAAGGTCATTGTTACACTTCAGATACTAAAGCCTGGTTCCAGGCGGACCAACATGCTTTAGAGACACGCTGCATGGGTCTAAATTCAAATTAGCCTGAACAGAACATGCAAAATTGTGTTCATGGTGCAACTTATCAATATTTCACTCTTCACCTCAATTTATTGTGCCAGAGTTAACAAAAGAGCTTTTTTTTCTCAGGTTGCTAGGCAGACCTACAAGAACTTGGTAAAGCTATATTGTACAACCCTATCCCCTCTGGTATTTCCCTTGTTATCCTGCTGCTTTTATCTTTAATGATGAACTAATTCAATGTGGAAGGTTAAAGCACAAGTAGAACCTACAAAGTGAATTGAGCATTTGAAAAATGTAAAAAACAAACTTAAAATGGAATAGATTATGCCCAAACTATGTAACAATTGTATCCAGATTAACCAAACATTTAATATGTTTTATTATATTGAATTAATCTTTCATTACTTAAACCACTTCATTGCAATCAAGGTTGTCAGGATACACCATTTTTTTCGTCGTTGTTTTTACTCCAAAGATTTTAAAGAAGCTCTGAAATCTTTTTTAATTCCTGTATTGACAGACTTTGTGAGTGCTGTGAAACCTGTGAAAAGGGTTAGTCACATAACAATTGAGTGTGTCCTGATTTGTTTGTTTGAGACGGTCTTGCTCAAAAAAAACACTCTGGCCTTATATTTGCTTGAAAAGGGCCTCGATTTTAGGTTGTGTTCATTTTCATTATATATCAAGTGAGTTATGGGCGGGACGGTGGCGTGGTGGTTAGCGCTGTCGCCTCACAGCAAGAAGGTCCTGGGTTTGATTCCGCCCAGTGGCATTTCTGTGTGGAGTCTGCATGTTCTCCCCGTGTCTGCGTGGGTTCTCTCCGGGTTCTCCGGCTTCCTCCCACAGTCCAAAGACATGCTCTGGGGATCAGGTTAATTGGGGACTTTAAATTGTGTGAGTGTGAATGGTTGTGTGTCTCTGTGTAGCCCTGCGATTGGCTGGCGACCAATCCAGGATGTACCCTGTCTATCGCCCGAAGTTGGCTGGGATGGACTCCAGCCCCCCCGCGACCCTGTGTGCAGGATAAGCGGTTTGACAATGGATGGATGTTTCTTGAGTCCTTATTCCTGATTCCGAAACATTCTTCGTTTTAATAATGGCGGTATTGTGCTATGAAAACGGAATGTGAGACTCCGTAAAGGAGGAGATGGAGGGAACCTGGAAGTGGATTGATGGGAAATCAACCCCGACAAGACTGAACTACTTCTCTTTCCAGGACAAGATTCTCCGACCCAGGACCTGACGGTCAACTTTGGCAACTCCGTGCTAACGCCCACTTTAACCGCTAGGAACCTCGGCGTCACACTCGACAGCCAACTCTCCCTGACTCCCAACATCACCGCGACAACGCGATCCTGTAGATACACGCTCTACAACATCAGGAGAATACGTCCCCTTCTCACTCAGAAGCTCTTGTCATCTCCCGCCTGGACTACTGCAACTCCCTCCTGGCTGGTCTCCCTGCTACCGCCATTCGACCTCTACAGCTCATCCAGAATGCAGGAGCTCAACTTGATAATCAAAAGTTCTTTTCATGGGTTAGGTAAGGGGGGAAGCCGGATGGGCCAAGCAGGCAGACACGAATCTGACAAGATGGGGAGTCAGTTTCTGTCCTGGCTGAGGAATGGAAGTTCTGCGGGTCAATATTCAACATACACACTCTGCCACTGATGTTTACCTTGAGTCAGGAGTCTGGACATTAAATGTGACCGGATCTTAGATGCGGGGGGTGGAAGGTCCTCCTCTACGCCAGTTTAGGGCCAATAGAAATCTTTCCTTCTCTCTCTTTCAAGGGTTATGAAACATGATGTTGTTGCTGATGTTAGTGAGTTGTTCTTCCGGCCTGTGTGCTGCCTGAACTGCTCCTGCCTTTGCAAACGCAGCGCTGATACTTGACCTGTGATCTGACAAATAAATCTCCCAGAACGAGAGACATTGTGCGGCTCAATATTTGATAACCCCGACCAGGCTCCAATGCGTAAACACATATTCTTACAGACTGTTCTTTAACCTTCCTAAGTTCTCCCACACTACTCCGCTCCTCCGCTCTCTTCACTGGTACCGGTGGCCGCCCGCATCCAGTTCTAAACATTGGTGCTCACGTACCATGCTGTGAATGGATCGGGTCCAGCTTACATCCAGGACATGGTCAAACCCGACATCCCGACCCGCACTCTCCGCTCTCCATCTGCAAATCTACTCGTTCCTCCCTCACTGAGAGCAAAACACTCAACTAGGTCTCGACTCTTTGCTGTTCTGCTCCTAAATGGTGGAACGAGCTCTATGAAGACACCAGGACCGCAGAGAGCCTTCACATCTTCATCTCTTCAGACTCTACCTCGACTAAAAGACTAATAAATTGTAGCACTTAAATTGTACTTATAACGTCACTCATCTATAGCAAATTGTAAATTGGCTTATTTGAGGAAATCACACTCTCTTGTTTCTTGTCCTCCTGAGTTTGTACCCTATGGTTGAATGCACTTATTGGAAGTCGCTTTTGATAAAAGCGTCAGCTAAATGACATGTAATGTAATGTGACTCTACTGACTGAGACTGGAGAAGAAGACACACATCACATGTTCATAGAGACACATTCTCTCATTTCTCAAATTAGACTGAAGCAAAACATTCTCTTGCGAGTGATGCTACACTACACAAAACATTAAACTCAATGGGTTAGAAGTTTAAGACCTGAAGCTGCTTTAATGCCGTTGGCTGCTTTGGTAAAGTGCAAGAAACCTGTAAACGTTCAGCAGCTTGATCCTCTCCTGCTGGGAGAGTGAACCTCGTGTTCAACCGGGTAGCGGGGAGGAGATCCACGGTGGGGGAAGAGGACTGCGCTGAATTGAGGAACTCAGGAAGAACTTGGAATG